GCCAGAGGGAGGTGGGGAGAGAGAGGAATTTGGGAGGAGAGACCAAGTAAATAAACCAAAGGATCCTCAGATCTAGCTAGCTCATGGCCCGGAGGGGTAAACTGAGGTCTGCAGAGAGGAAGCACAATGAGCAAGGGGTCCTGAGAAGGAGGAGAGAACTGGACCAGAAGGCAGGATGGCTTGCTCGAGCCTGGGCCATCACCAGCCCACATGGCCCTTTTGGACAAATTTCCAAGGGTATCCTCCACCCCCACCCCCAATCTGCCATGCCAGGTGTTCAGCCTGGCGAGCGGAAGGTGAGCTGGATTTCGGCCCCCACCTGTGCCCTCAGCCAGGTGTTCTTGCGCAGGGCACAACCTGCCCAGCCAACAGCTCCAGTTGCGTCTAGGCTCTGCCTCTGCGTTGCGGTGTGACTCTGGGCAGGTCTGTCCCCTCCTGGGGCATCAGTCTCTTCATCGGATCGACATGTACTTTGGGGCCCTTCACCCCTGCAGTTCAGGGAGCAGTGGGGTGGAGCCGAGCCTCTCCCAGGGTGCCCGCCTTGAGCCCATGGCTCTGTGCTAAGAGAGGCTGGTGGGGCCTTGGTCCTGCCCCCAGCGCCTCAAATGCAGGGGCCACAGGGGTCCTGTCGGTAACATAAGTGCATGAGGGGGCCCAGGTGGGGACTGCAGTAGACTGGCAGTCACACACCCACTTAATGGGCAGCTTGAGAGCATCCACTGAGCTGCCAAGTGTATGGTTTTATAAAAGAAGCAGAAATCTGGATGTTTATGCCAAAGCTGCTTTTTAAAGGACGGTCATTAATTCAATTTTTTCACAACACAATGTGGAGCAAATGCAACATGTCTTTGGTGCCAAATTGGCCCTTTCATATCCATTGGTCTAAAGAAACAGTGGACTGGAGAGTGGGGGATCGAAGGCTGGAGGCGGGAAAGGCATCCGTCTTCTTGGTCATTGGAGGTCAGTCGGGGGAGACTGCCGGGCGTTTGCTGGCACTTGTCCCAGTCCCAGTGGTCGTTCACCTGCTCCAGGTGCTGGTTCCAGGAGGAGACTGCCATCTCCGCCCTCTATGTCACCGTCCACGGCTACTTCCTCCTCACCTTCCTCTTCAGCGCCGTGGTCCTGGGCCTGGTGGCCTGGAAGATCTTCACTCTGTCGAGTGCCACAGCAGGCAAGAAGGAGCGGCAGAACTGGAAGGGGGCCCTCACCTTGCTGGGCCTCTCCAGCCTGGTGGGCATGACCTGGGGACTGGCCATCCTCACGCCCCTGGGCCTGTCGACCGTCTACATCTTCGCACTGTTCAACTCCCTGCAAGGTGAGGCTCCTCGGCCAGGGGGTGGCGGGCTGCCCTGTCTGCACCGGGGAGTGTGGGAGGCGTGGCGGGAGCGGTTGGACTCAGGATTCAGGAGGCCACTCGGGCCAGGACCCCACGCAGGAAGGCTGGCCGACCGCCAGGCTCGCCGACACCTTATCCTCCTCACAGGTGTCTTCATCTTCTGCTGGTTCGTCATGCTCTACTTCCCCATCCAGAGTGCCATGTCCTCCTCTTCCGGTCCTGCCCAAGCGGAGCATTCCCACACGGTGTCACATGGATAGGGGGCTGGCCTTGCGACCTGGACTCAGCTCAGACTTGCTGTGTGACCTTGAACAGCCCCCTGCTTGCCCCTGGGCCTCAGTCTCCATGTCTGTACATGGGGCTGGGGAGGGAGGGGATGGGGACCAGGTTGGACCACATGACCTCAAAGGTCCCGTCCAGATTCATCTGTGGTCTGAGAGTCCACAAATCCAGGACTGTAGGAGTCTACAGTTCCTATAATCCCAAGGTCCCTGCCAGCACAGAGCGACACCATCACGCCTGGCGCCACGCCCACCCCCTGCCTTCATAACAGAGCACCCTGTCTCTGCCATTGCCCACCTCTGGTCTTGGGAAGGGCCTGAGCCCAAGTTGGCACAGTCTGGCAGAGGAGCCCCCCTTTCCTCCCTCTTGTCACTGCCCTCCCGCGACACGGGAAGGGCCTGAACCCAAGTTGGCACAGTCTGGCAGAGGAGCCCCCAGCCTCTCCCTTTCCTCCCTCTTGTCACTGCCCTCCCGCGACTCCACCCCGTGAGGGGCATTTGGCATGTCATCCCCTCAGGCACTGGGGCAGCTGTGAACTGGAGGTTCGCCCTGGGGATGTTGGTCCTCCCAGCCAGGCTGCCCCAGTCACAGCCAGTCCTCTCAGGGCCTATTTTCACAGAAGTGTCGCCACCATTCAGGGGGCTGCCAGCCCTCTGGGAGACTGGACACTGAAATTCAGAGAATGCTGCTTACTCAGTGGTGTGAAAACCCCCAGTCCCCACTCCGACTGCTATGTGGGTGGCCCAAACTCTGATCTGCTGTCACAGTGCGGTGGAGATCCAGGGCTCCGTACAACAGAGAGGGGTCTGGGCTGAGCTGAGAGAGGAAGGACGTTCCCCGCCTGGCATCCGTGCTCCCGCAGAGCGGGCACTTCGATGGCCTCACTGTCAGCCAGCCCTGGCGCATTTCAGGCACTGAATAAAGATTTGCTGGCCGAATAGGTGGGTGTGTGAATTTGGCACTAGCTTGACACGGCCCTGAACCAGGGGAGTGTCTCAGGCCGGACCCAGCTTGGGTATGTCACTTCCCATGGCTGTATCTCCATGTTACAACCCTGTACTGGCTTCCTTTGTGGACAACAAAAAGAAGCAGAGATAACAGAAATAGAAGAAGAGATCCAGAGATAGAGAGATGGAGAGAGATAGGGAGAATTAACAAACTGGTACAAAGCAAAAAACAGAGAGGAAGAGACAGATGCAGACAGACAGCAGCCCCCTTACCCCGCCTCCCGGCCTGCCCCAACCAGGGGGGCAGAGCGCTGGGAACCGTCCCCCTCCCCGAGCCTCACCCCGCACGTTTGTGTCCCCACTCTAGCCTTTACTTTACTAACCATCGGGGGAGTCTCTCCACCTACCTAACCCCCACCCTCTCCAGTGGGCTTTGGGGATGGTCAAGCACCTTCTACAGGTGAGAAGTTCTTATCATTAGACCCTCCCCACAGCCTCTGGGCTGCTAGCCTCCTCCCAGATGCCAAGTCCAGACATGGACTGGACCAGACAGGAAGGCAGGGTCCCTTGTCTTATGCAGGATGCTGTGTTCCCAGAAGGGGAGCCCCAGGGTGTGGACATCACATCGGTGGAGCAATGCACATTGTCAGAGTTTGCGCACACGCTTGGTGGGTTTGGGGCTTATCTTCACAGACATCTCTTCCTCACGCTGGCCCCTCGAGACTCCCTTGGCTTGAAGAAAACCCAGATGGAGCCTTGTGTAAAGCATGACCCTATGCAACCTGCACGTAAACTAGGAGAAGTTGAAGGTTAAAGCTCCCTGCCAGATCCCTTCTGCAGCTCTGCCAAGCGGACTAGCCCTGCATGGGGATGAGGTGTGAAGCCCTGAGAGGCCCAGCAGCCACATGAGGCCACTCTGCGAGCTGGGCGGATGCTAGGTCTGAGGCCTCCCTAGGTTGCTGATACCTCCTTCCAGGCATTCCCTGGGTTCAAGAATTATTACCATGTTCCAACGCCCCACCCCCCGCCCATCACCACCAAATCCCAGGCTGCAGCTTTCCCAGACATGCTCAGTGGGATGTCGGACCAACAAGCCACAAGCCCCACATGGGCTGGGTTTCCCGGTGCAGATGGAGAGGGCAGATGGGGGTGTAGTTAACAATGGGGTTGTGCAATTTTTCTGCTGGTTCTCTACCCCAGGGCCAGGCAGGGGCAGAGAGGCCGGGGGCCCTCATTGCCTAGGATCTCTGCAAAAGCAGCTCCAAGTGCCAGGTTGAACATGTGCCAGGGTGGAGCCATGGTAAAAACATGGTAAAAACATCCCCCGAGGCCCAGCATGAATGGACAGGACTGCCCTGTCGCCGCACTGTCAGAAGAGCAGCACAGCGGGTGGACAGCTCCGTGGTTATGAGCACAAACTGTGGTCCAGATTCCACCTCTGCTGCTTGCCTTGGACCAGTTCCTCACCTGCT